ATAGTAGGCGTTTGGTCAAGACTTTTTTTCATTATTTTTTACATTTGGTGGGTTTCGTCGATAGCACCCAACAGGAGATTGATCGTCTGGACATCATTCTACAACGTGACACCCAGGCCCTCCCCGAGCAAATCATGGCCGTCAATCAATATCTGGATCCGTCTGGTGCTCTTCAGAATGACACCACCAAGCTTGCTCAACGTTTGAAGAGTGTGCAAGAGGCTGTCCGAGACAAGTTCTTTTCTGCAATTCGCAAATGTGGCATCCAGGTACCCAAGACCGAGTCTGGTGACACCATTGACAGTGTCTTTGAGAAGCTGACACTCAACTACACAGACACCATATCAATAATCAACAACTCTGACCACATATTTGATAATATGTTACAGTGCCAACAGTTCACCTCGAGACCCGCCCCAGAGGCAGTCGTTCAGAATGCAGAGGCAATCGATCAAGTGCCAGCAGCACCTGCCAAAAGAGGACGTGGTCGTCCTCCCTCTAAGCCATCCGCTAACCTCACAGCCAAGCCCGACGCCAAGCCCGCAGCCAAGCCCGCAGCCAAACCTGCCGCTCAAAGTACTACATCTATATCCATTGACAATTCAACATCCATGCCGTCAACCTTCAATCATTCAATCAATCAATCAATTCAATCATCACATGTATTATTATCCACAACCTCACCCTTGGCACCATTTGAGACAAGGACGGACTCCAATAGTCCAATCAATCAATCACTCGATCAAACGACAAGGACATCAACATCGACGACATCAACAACATCAACAACATCAACAACATCAACAACATCAACAACATCAACAACATCAACAACATCAACATCATCAACATCTATATCCAATGCGCCGACAGAGCTGAGTGAGACCAAGAGACAATTCCATCCATTACTCAGTCACAAGATTTGAGGAAGAGGATKAGGGTCTACCCTACAGTGTCGCCAATCTAGAGGTCCAGAAGTTAGTATACACAGTCACTCTACCATTTCATTGTTACACTGCGCTAGCCGTCAGTTACAGCTCAATGTGTTTGTGAAACA